CCACCCAGGTGCCCCAAATTTCACCATTTTAAAGTGTGCGGTTTAGTGGTATTTAGTATCCCCCCAGTGTTGTACACTATCACTACTACCTAGTTCCAGAACATTTTTATCACACCCAAAAGACACGCACATACCTTTGTAAGTAGTCACTCTGCATTCTGCCCTCCCCGGCCCCCGGCAACCACCAATCTGCTTTCCATCTATAGATTTGCCTCTTCTGTATATTTTATAGAAATGAAACTGTATAAGGGCATCTAGGTGGCCCAATCTGTTTAGCGTCTGACTCTTGATTTTGGCTCAGGTCGTGATCTCGTGTTTGTGGGTTCGAGCCCTGTGTCTGGTTCTGCACTCTGTGGAGCCTGCTTGGGATTCTCTCTCTCCATCTCTCTCTGCCCCTCCCCTGCTCTCTCTCTCTCTCTCTCTCTCTCAAAATAAATAAATAAACTGAAAAAAAGAGAAAGAAATGAAATCGTACAAAAGTGGACTTTTATATCTGGCTTCTTTACTTAGCTTAATGTTTCAAGGTTCATCCATGTTGTTGCATCTATTGGTAATTCACTTCTTTTTTAAATATTTATTTTTTTGAGAGAGGGAAAGAGAGTGTGAGTGGGGGCGGGGGAGCCAGAGAGAGATGGAAAGAGAGAAGCATCCCAAGCAGGCTCTGTACTGTCAGCACAGAGCTCAGCAGCACGGGGCATGATCCCACCAACCGTGAGATCATGACCTGAGCCGAGATCAAGAGTCAGATGCTCAACCAACTGAGCCACCCAGGCGCCCCATTATTTCATTTCTTTTTGTGACTGAATAATTTTCCATTGTGTGGATGGACCACTGTTTATTTATACATTTATCAGTTGATGGACATTTCTGTCATCAGTTGATGGGTTTCTACTCTTTGCTGTTGTGAATAGTGCTTCTATGAGCATCTGTGTACACATTTTTGTTTAACTGTTGTTTTTATCAGCAAAACTAAAAGGCAACTGATGGAATGGGAGAAGATATTTGCAAATGACATATCAGATAAAGGGTTAGTATCCAAAACCTATAAAGAACTTATCAAACTCAACACCCAAAAAACGAATAACACAGTGAAAAAATGGGCAAAAGACATGAATAGACATTTCTCCAAAGAAGACATCCAGATGGCTAACAGATGCATGAAAAGATGTTCAATGTCACTCATCATCAGGGAAATACAAATCAAAATCATGATGAGATACCACCTCACACCTGTCAGAATGTCTATAATTAACATCTCAGGCAACACCAGATGTTGGTGAGGATGCAGAGAAAGACGAACCCTGTTGCACTGTTGGTGGGAATGCAAACTGGTGCAGCCACTCTGGAAAACAGTATGGAGGTTCCTCAAAAAATTAAAAATAGAACTACCGTACGACCCAGGAACTGCCCTACTAGGTATTTATCCAAAGGACACAGATATGCTGTTTCAAAGGGGCACATGCACTCCAATGTTTATAGCAGCACTATCAACAATAGCTAAAGTATGGAAAGAGCCCAAATGCCCATCAACTGATGAATGGATAAAGATGTGGTACATATTCACAATGGAATATTACTTGGCAATAAAAAAAATGAAATTTTGCCATTTGCAACAACGTGGATAGAATTAGAATGTATTATGCTAGGTGAAATTGGTCAGTCAGAGAAAGATGAATATCATGACATCACTCATGTGGAATTTAAGATACAAAACAGATGAACATAAGGGAAGGGAAGCAAAATAATATGCCCGACACACAAGCAGAGAGCAAAAAAGCCCAGGCATGCATTGGGTGCTTTTAGAAGGGGCCTGTTGAGCCGTCCGACTTGCAGCTGTAATAATGACGGTCCTGGGAAGTTCTGGTGTTCTGCCTGGCCAGGCCCTGGGCTGATTGGCTCAGAGCCTGAGCCTGTTTTGCTCCGATTCTGTGTCTCCCTCTCTCTCTGCCCCTCCCCCGTTCATGCTCTGTCTCTCTCTGTCCTAAAAAAAAAAACAAGGAGGGGGGACAAAATATAAGAGACTCTTAAATACAGAGAACAAACTGAGGGTTGCTGGAGGGGTTTTGGGGGGGGTGATGGGCTAAATGGGCAAGGGGCATTAATGAGGGCACTTGTTGGGATGAACATTGGGTGCTATATGTAGGGGATGAATCACTGGATTCTACTCCTGAAATCATTATTGCACTATATGCCAACTAACTTGGATGTAAATTAAAATAATAACTAAAAAAAAACAGTTGTTTTCCGTTCTTTTGAGTATATACCCAGGCGTGGAATCACTGGGTCAGATGGTAATTTTATGTGTAACTTGTTGAGGAACTGTCAAACTGTTTTCTACAGTGGCTACACCATTTTATATTCCCACCAGTAATGTATGGATATTCCAGTTTCCCCACATCTTTGCCAACAGTTGTTATTTTGCATTTAAAAGTTTTTTTATTACAGCTATCCTAGTGGTGGAGAATTGATATCTCATTTTTATTTGCAGTTCCTTGAGACTATTGATGTGGAGCATAGTTTCATATGCTTGTTGACCTTTGGACAATCTATTCAAATCCTTTGCAAATTAAAAAATTGGTTTTTGTTGTTGTTGTTTTTATTGAGTGTCGGAGGAAGCAATTGGGAGGATGTTCATGCTGGGTTACATCTGGGGGCTGAATCCAGGCTTCTCTGCTCCTCCATTGTCCCTGGAATGTATGCTCTGCCCACTGTTATCACAGTGGGAGCTGTTTCCGAGGATGTAGCCTTGAGAGAGGAAGATATTGTTGATGGTAGACCATGTGGATGGTATACATGACTGAACCCAGTTAAGGGCTCTCTTAAGATTTGGCAGGCAGGGGCGAAGATCACTTGACCTTGCAGCCACTCAAGACAAGCCTTGTGAGTAAGTTCCCTTGCTTATTAACCCCAACACCCATCAATCTAGAGTGGTCTGCCTCTGTCTTCGGTCTCTCCTTGCCCTCCATGTACAGTGACCAATTTGTGAGCCAACAATTGGTGAACCAGCCAGGAAACTGAAGAAACGGGCTTTGGGAAAGAGGTGTCACAGGAGAAATCCCGAGTTGGCCATCAGCCTTTCTGTGGGAGGTGGCATGTATGTCAGATGCTTATGGACCCCCAGATGAGTATGGGGACACATGAAAACACTGGCTGGTTTGGTGCACTCGTTGGAGCCACTGTGCAGAGCGCTCTGTGGCAGAGAAGAGAAACAAATGACTGCAGGATGGGTGGGCCTCCATAGCTTAACTAGAGGCTGAAGGTCTAGTTAGAAGGTTGGAAGAAGAGCTGAGGTTGGAGAAGGATGTGCGGTGCCCGCTGCTCTGCTGGCTTCGGGGCTGGCAGACAAGGCATGGGTTGGGCACTACGACAGAGACAGCAGGAAGAGATGACCTCTAGAACTTTGGTCCAAGCTCTGGAAGGGGGCAGAGACCCGATGGTGGGTAGTGGGTTGACTGAGGTGCTGGCCATCTTCTGCTATGTGGCTACAAATGGGATCTTAATCCCCTATTAACAGGGAGGAGCTAGCAATGTAATGGGTGAGGGCAGAAGTAGGAGAAGTGAGTGCTCAGAAGAGTGGGAAACTCTACCCTGGCTCCTGGCCACCCTTATGCCATCCCATCCCCCCTTTCCCCTTTAGTTTCTGCACACTTCTGCTTGCTGCCTAACATTTTACAGGAGTTTATCATCATTTTCCGTGGGGCCACTGGTCTGATAGGAGCGACTCCTCTTACCAGAAGCCAGAAATGCTTCTCAGTGAATTGAAAAATAGTTTTTGGTCATGTTAAAAATTCCCATCTGTAAATCTATAGCTTAATTTGGGACAAAACCAGGAGCATTTCAATGTTAAATCTAACCATCCAGCATGGTATATGTCTCCTTTATTTATTCTAGCCAGATTTATATCTTGGAGTTGCTAAAGAAAAAAATCCAATTGAGTACACTTGAAGATCCACTGGCTTTATTAAGGACTCATGAATCGGCAGCATCTCATGTAGCAAGCAGAGGGGAGCTCTGAGGCATTGTACAAAATGGATGGTTTTCAAAGGAAGGAGGGTGGGGCAAGGAAGTTATTAGCAAACGACCCCCATCCCTAAACAGAATAGCAGAAGATTGGAGAAGAGGAGTTGAGACAGAGCCTGAGTCGAGGCTGGGTCATGGTGTCCAATTGTTCCAAGGTGAGCATGCCCTGCACGAGTGTGCTCTCTGCCCCCACTAGGTCATCGCTAAGGGTCACCTTGCCCATTTATGCTGTAGATAACAGCAACTCTTATTTCGTGGAGTAAATATAGAATGCTCAACAAACACTTGTGTTGTCTTCAAGTCTCCAACGCAGGATCCTTCAAGATACTTCCATATTTGACAGCCACCTCAAGTCTTCCCTGACCATTGCAAGAGATGTCCTGATATGGGAAAAAAAAAAAAAAAAAAAAGGACAAAACCAAAGAGCTAGTGTTGCACTCCCTGTTTAGAGAAAGCTGCCTTAGCAACGTTATAGATCTTTCTGGGTGTGCTCCATGTTACCTGTGCATGGGAGGAAAGAGCATTAAGAGTTGTCAGTTAAGGGCACATCCACCAGAGAGGTTAGTTATGCTTGGAGACTGGGGCATTGGGGACTCCTCAGAGCTTGGTCACAGCCCTTTAGGATGCCATTAACAGAGAAATAGGAGGAGAGCCAATGAAGCGGGTATCCACAGTCTTGTTCTGAGAATTGGATAAAAAGCAAGAGAGTGAGTTAGAATGATCCTTGGAGAGAGCAGCGAAGGCAGGTGAGTTTTCCCTACGTACAGGGAATTGATCTCTCCCTGTGTGCAAGCAGAAGGGTGGGGCCAGTGGTGAAAGACTGGGATAGATTTAGTTTGTAATGATTAACATAAGGAAGGCACGCTGCCTTCCAGTTACTTGCCCTTCTGAGTGACTCAATGATAAGATAAAGATGATGGAAATAAATGCAGGAGACACAGCCTGATTGGAAAAGTCAGCTGCTTTGAGCTTCTACGGACATGGCTGCAGGATTCCTGGTTCCCCTGCCGGTGCTCACGGGGCTGTTGCTGTTCCTGTGTGTTGGGCCCCGGGCTGAAGGTGGGAAGGTGCTGGTCTTGCCCATGGATGGCAGCCACTGGCTCAGCATGAAGAAGGCCCTGCAGGAGCTCCATGCCAGAGGCCACGAAATAGTGGTCGTTTCGCCAGAGGTGAATCTGCATATCAAAAAAGAGGACTTTTTCACCCTGATGACCTACGCCATTCCGTACACCCAGGACGAATTTAATGACCTCATACGGGGCCACTCTTATCAGGTTTTTGAAAAAGTACATTTTCTAAAGATGTTTTTGAAAATCACGGAAAATTTGAAAACTGCTTCTTTCATTTATCAAAGGTCTTGCAAGGAGCTGATGTACAACAAGGACCTGATCGGGCACCTGAACTCCAGTTCCTTTGATGTGGTTTTAACAGATCCTGTTTACCCCTGTGGGGCAGTCCTGGCTAAGTACCTGTCACTGCCTGCCGTGTTTTTTTTGCGCTCTGTTCCATGCAACTTAGATTTTGAGGGCACGCAGTGCCCAAACCCTTCCTCATATGTTCCTAGGCTATTAACAATGAATTCAGACCACATGACGTTCCTGCAAAGGGTCAAGAACATGCTCTACCCTCTGTCCCTGAAGTACATTTGCCACTTTGTTTTCACTCCTTACGCAAGCCTCGCCTCTGAGCTCCTGCAGAGAGAGGTGTCGGTGGTGGATGTTTTCAGCTCTGCATCCATGTGGCTGTTCAGAGGAGACTTTGTACTGGACTACCCCAGGCCAGTGATGCCCAACATGGTCTTCATCGGGGGCATAAACTGTGTCAACAGGAAGCCATTATCACAGGTCTGTATGGGTGCCTACAATGTTCCAAGTAGAACACATGTTTTTTTTTTTTTTCTTAATTTACTTCCAGGTGTTTACTTATCTACTAGTCTTTCTAAAGATGTCTATCTCTCGTTCTCCTGACAGTTTGGTAAGATGAATGTTGAAGTGCCTCCACTAATGCAAGAAAGGTTTGCCAGGGTCACTGAGAAAAATGAGAGGCAGGGGTGAGCGTCTGTGATAGGATTGGCAAGTGCTGCTTTGAGTCAACCAAGACTGTCTTCCAGGCAGGCGCCGTCTTCAGAGTTGTGCAATTTTCTCCAGCTGTGTAGGAGCAGAGAAACCGAGTTGTGGGCTGATCCATCAGGAGGTTTTGCTTGTGGGTGTTTGCTCATCCTGGAGGACAAAGGAACTATCGCATTGTGTTTGTTGACACGGTCGTTTTTAGTGGCTTCGTCTTGGAAGGGACTAAAGTGTGATCATAGGAGACCTAAACACCAAAAGGGAGCAGGAGTGTCTGAGAGCTTGAGTAAATTAAGGGGAAGTGAGACAATGCAGAAGAGAGAAGGTGGGGTCTCTGTGACCCGAGAAAGTAACCAAGTTCAAGTTTTCAGAGAGGGAGCTGTGCTGACAAGTTTCCCGACCAGGTGTTGATATCTGGTATATAATTCGGGGCTAGCAGAATTGCATGGCAGGTCGGTTGAATGGCTTGGGATGCTGAAGTCATCAAAGGCTGGTGGGAGGGACTAAGGAAGAGATAAAACTAGGAGCCTATAAACCCAGTGAAGTGGAGGACGGTGATGAAAAGAATGGAGTCTAAAAGGGGAAAGGGTTGTTGGGAGGGCTGACCGCATCACCAGGCCCACCCTCCCAGCCCAGGTTTCCATGGTAGAAATTATTGCTTTACTAATACTTTCAGAGGCATCTGACATTAACCCTGGATATTTGGGTTTAATTGAAATAGGACTCATGGGAGCTATTTTATTTCTTAATCCACTGAGTTAGCCATCTTTTTTCCCCCCATTTATGCCATATTCACTTACTTTATATTAACTTCCATGACTTTAGATCTTTTATAGTTTTTGCATTCTTACTTCTGTATCTCTTTTTATTTATGTACATATTATTGCACAGGACTCTAATGCCATTTCTCTTTTTGCTTCAGACCACAAGGGAGCTATACTATCTGGCTTTTTCCTTTGTGCAATGCATTTATTCACTTAAAAAAATATTTATTAGGCTTGTAAAAATTGAAAAATAGGAAGGCATTTAAAAAGTAACTGGTACTCTTTTCTTTTAGTGTTGCTATGTAAATATATCCTCTGGAGTTAACTGCACTGGTTCAAATTCTCACTCCCGTTTTTCTAGCTGAACGGGCAGGTGGGCAGGTGACCCAACTATTCTGGCCTGACTATTGTCACAATGAGCATACAATAAATATTATCTATTATCATTATTTAAAAAGTGCCCAGCAGGACAATGTATGTCATCTGGAGACCGTTAGATGTTTGTGCCAATTTATTTGGTATGCGAAAGATCATTTACACTGAAATTCTCAAGTATTATACGTGCTAGGCACACCATTATCACTTTTGTTCCACTAAATTCTTTTTTACTTTGAGATTTTGTCTCCCTTACTTTGGTTTACCCTTAGATGTGACTTCTTTTGGTACTTGATGGAAATTTTCTCCAAATATGAAAGATCAGAGTCTAAGTCTTTCATATTTTTGCTCCTTTTCTTTCTTAAGATTTCTGATGGGTGGAGTTCTTTTATTGGTTTTCTCATAGAAATAATTTTTGGAATTGCTTATTCTTTTTACTATTTTTATTTTCTATTTCATGAATTCCAGTTTTCTTTTTATTAGTGATTGTCATTCTTGTATCTTTTGGTTTATTTTATAGTTATAGTTATTTTTCTAATTTTCCTTTGGTAAGCATTAAGTTCCTGTTAGAGTTTTCTTAATAATGAAACACTGAAGGTCATAAAACTTTTCCTGTGTTTCCTAGGTTTTCGCATAAATTGCTCATATATTTTTCCTTTTTGTTTTTGGTAACTCAATGGTTTGGATTTTCTCTTTAAGCTCATGGCTATCTTCAAAGCTGTTTCTTTATTCCCATATAGTTAAGGTTTATATTAGCTATATTTCTCTTATTTTTCTAATCATTTTATATTTTAATCAGAGAATGTTTAAAAAATTTTAGTAGGCATGTTTAAAAAAAGGCATGAAGAGGGTTAAAACTAATTTTGATGTATTTTATTCAATCAAATATATCTAAAACATTATACCTTCAACATATACTCAACATAAAATTATTAATGAGATATTTCACATTATTTTTTAAAAAGTTTATGTTGAGAGAGAGCATGCATGTGCTTGAGAGAGCATGAGTGCGTGAGCTGGGGAGGGGCAGAGAGAGAGGGAGAGAGTCCTAAGCAGGCTCTGTGCTGCCAGCATGGGGCCCAAAGTGGGGCTTAATCTCACTAATGGTGAGATCATGACCTGAGCCAAAATCAAGAGTTGGATGCTTAACCAACTAAGCCACCCAAGTGCTCTGAGATATTTTACATTCTTTTGCTTTCATACTAAATCTTCAAAATCTGGTATGTATTTTACACTTACAGCATATTTCAATTTGGACTGGCTGCATTTCAAATGCTTGGTAGTCACGTGTAGCTAGTGGCTTCTATGATTGGTAACTTATTATTAACATTTGCAAATGTTCCATAGATACACCTAAAAATGTATATTTAAGTTTTTTCTATTTAAAAAACCGTGACATCCCCAATTCTGAAAATGGTGTCTTAAACTACTTACTTATTTAACTGGGGTTGCTCTGTGGGAAAGTGCTAGAGAGTCCATGGAGAGTCCACTGCAGGGTCTTTGATATGGTCATCTTTTGCACCAAAGGAAATGCCATTTTCTCTACTCTGAAAGCCCACTCAAGCCTTTCCATAAAAGAGGAATATTGATATACAGGACTGTGATTCTGGGGCCAAGACATTTTTTAAAAGAGATTTTCAATTTGGAAAATTCTTTAAATAAAATGGTTTCTTTTTCTGTAAAAGGCAACTTTCCACTTAGCAGCACTAATTCAGATATATCAAAACTGGATGCTGTTCGCCCTCAATTGTTATAACTAGCCACCATTCTACTTTGTCTTCACGAATTTGGCCACTCCAGGCATCTCATAGAAATGGAAGCATACACTATTTGCCTTTTTCGTAACTGACTTACTTCACTTAGACTAATGTCCTCAAGGTTCATGCATATTGTAGCATTAGGTCAGAATATCCTTACTTTTTAAGGCTATAATAGTCCATCGTATGGGTACACATTTGGCTTTTATATTCATCCATTGACTCATCCATTGTAGGTTGCTTCCACTAGAGCTGTTGAGATCCATGACCTCTGAGTGACCCCAGTATGCCACCCAACTGAAGACTTTCCTGAGTAGTTGTTAACCCTTAATTAGCATAACCACCATGAAAGTGTGCACTTTCCTATCACTTCAAAACTCCTGACATCCCTTCTCCCCCTGCTCCTCCTCCCCTCCCCACCAACAACGATGAATATCTTCACTGGTGAGTCCCCTTGCCTGGCAGGCAAATGAACTCATTTTTTTAAAAGCTCTGGCAGTCTTCTTTATTATAATACTTCTTGTACAATTAGTGGCTAAGAAGCACTACCCAGGATACCTCAGTGACCACTTGACATGGTTTTAACAGACTGTGTGCCCTTGTGGGATAGTAATGGCTGAATCCTATGTTCCTGCTAGGTCTTGTATGCACACCATTCTATGGGGACTGGGCTTAACTCAACTTCACATGTTCTTAATTAAGTGTGTTCAGGCCACATGAGCTTCCTGTAAAGAATTACAAATAATGCTGCACTTTTAGTCTATCCAGTTCGGTTACCTTTTTGTTCCCATGTCTTACGCACACTTTTCCTTAGACACAACCAAAGGGGATGGATGGCACATTTTGTGATGGTCTATCCCAAGGTAGCCATGCCCAAAACAGTTTTCACGACGGGGATAAACCGTGGCAACACAAATGTATTCTCTCCAATATGCATATGCTGCCTCACCCAATCAGTATCCCAGGCTCTCCAATATTCCTGGCTTTTGTCAACCTATTTTAAAATAGATACATTCTGCACATGGCAATGGGATAGTTTTGTGTAGTTTTATGGAAATACTTTCCACATTTCCATACATCACAGTTGTAGAACCAAGCTGGGTACAGGCTAGTAACCCTATTTGTGTTGGGTTTTGAGTAATCACTACCACTGGTTTACTGCTTACGTGACCTGAACAGCATCCTAAGGATGTTGTTAACTAATCATGTAACCGTGAAGAATTCACTGAAGCATTTTGCTCAAGCCTGTGGAGGGAACATGTTCCTGCTAACACTGATGTCAGTCCATGAAACTCACTTTAGACTTCCGACCTCCGGATCTTTAAGAGAATAAATGTGCCTTGTTTTAAGCCACCAAATTTGTGGTAATTTGTTCCAATAGCCATTGGAACCGAATACACCACTTTGTCAGGTTAACCTGTTTTTTAAAAAGGCTACACTTAATACTACATTTAACCGGAAAACTCTTACTAGTCACTGGCATTTACGTGGGACTAAAAAGCATCTTTAAGCCAGAAGGATTAATATACTCACATCCTTTACTACCATGTGTTGAAAAATTGGAAGTGAAACGAGTTATCTTGGCAACGTTAACTTCAGAGCAAACTACCTGGCTCACATTTCAAACAAAATGGAAAGGCAAGGTTCAAGGTGCTGTAAACATTTTGTCCCAATACTACGAAATAATCAGCATCTGCCTCGGGATTATGTTTAATAAATAGCAAAGTGCATACAGGTATTTACAACAAGTTCTAAAGACAAATGGAGGTCTAACTTGTATGGTCCCAATAACAACAACAAATAGGCATCGGCATGAACTGTTTATAAATTCTCGAGTACAGTTGTTCTGAAAGTAGAGTGCACTTGCAATCTTCAAAAAAAAAAAAAAAAAAAAAAAAAAAAAAAAAAAAAAGTCCTGCTGCTCCTCACAATGTTTTTTGAATTCAACTTGGACTGGAATTATTTGGCGTCAATGTGTAGCAACTGCTCTCTGCCGTTTATGACCAGGGACTTTAACTCTCCGTCTTCTTCCACCTCCACCCTTTCTTGGCCATTCTCAATGATTCTCTTGGTGGTGATTTTTTTGCCATTGACGATTTCGGTGGAAGTCGACATGGATTTGAAGTTGCCGGTCCCACCACTACCATAAGACATGGCGAAGGAAGAAAGGCCTCCATTCCCCAGGGAACCAAAGGAGCTAAATCCTGTATCAAAAGAAGAAACACCACCCCCAAATGCTGGAAATCCACTGAAGGCGGTGAAGAAGGGCGCGGTCCCCCTGCTTCTGCTTCTCCGGGAGCTCCTCCGACCGCCCACAAGGTTCCCCAGCGGGTCTCCAAAGAAGTCAAAGGAAAATGGGTCCCGGCCGCCGAAGAACTCCCTGAAGACCTCGGCCGGGTCGCGGAAGGTGAAGACGTGCTCGAAGGGGTCGCGGAAAAGCCCACCGCCCCCGCCGCCCCCGCCGCAGTCCTCCACTCCGGCCTCGCCGTAGCGGTCGTAGACGTCCCTCTTCGTGGCGTCTGACAACACCTCGTAGGCCTGGGCCACCTGCTTGAACCGCCTCTCCGCCTCCTCCTTGTTCTCGGGGTTTTTGTCGGGGTGCCACTTGAGCGCCAGCTTGCGGTACGCCCTCTTGATGGCCTCGGACGAGGCCTGGCGGGGCACGCCCAGCACCTCGTAGTAGTCCTCCATGGTGGACGGCGTGGCACGGCCCGCGGGCCACGGGCACGACGAGGCGATGCGGGCCCGAGTGCCCCGCGACGCCAGGCAGCAGGGAAGGGGAGCCCTTGTGACGTAGCCCGCGCCTCATTGGCCGAGGCCGCATCCCAGAATGCAGCGCCGGGGGGCGGGACCTGCCGCGCTTCCGATGAGGCTCTCTGTGGCGCGGTTCGCTCGGGCGCGGACGCCCCGCCTACCGAGGCCCCTCCCACCACCTGGCCCCACCCACCCGCCTTCCGCCTGGGGCCGGTGACCTACAAATCCCGCTGGAAAAAGAGGAAGTTAGCGGGTGGAAGTGGGGGCCCACGTTTTGGCGGTGGGGCAGAGTGGTATTTTTAAAGCAGGTTTTCTGTCAGACACCCCCCCCCCCCCTTCGCCTGGTGGGCGTAGACTGATGGCGGTGCGTTTAGTCTGACCCTGTGCTGAAGGTCACCCACATCGTTTGTCCAGGACAGCAGTTCTCCTGTGTTTTGGCCCCAGGACCCTTTTGCTTTAGTTTATATAGGTTGTAACAATCAATACTAACACCGTTAGAAATTAAGGCACTAAAAAAAACCCTCGATAGTCAATTTAATAGCAATAAAACCATTACACGCTAAGATAAATCATATTTCTATGGGAAAACAACTTTTTCAAAACAAAACAATTACTGAAGAAGGGCATCATGTTACATTTTTTGTGTCTCTCTGCTTTAAAAGAAGAGAACTGGATTCTTCTGCTTCTGCAGGCAATCTATTGCTATACTACAGGTGATGTGGCCAGAGAGAGACTCCACTGTACATAAAAGAGATCATGTGAGTGAAAAAGCCAGATAGTATTATGGAAATAGTTTCGACTTTGCAAAATTCCCCTAAAAAATTCTTGGGTATTCCTTTGGGGCTTTGGCCCACAGTTTGAGAACTCCTGGTCTAGTATATCAAAACTAGTAAAATTTGCTGGCAATAGGGACGCCTGGGTGGCTCAGTCAGTTAAAGGTGTGACTTCACCTCAGGTCGTATCTTAAGGTTTGTGACTTTGAGCCCCGCATGGGGCTCTATGCTAACAGCTTGGAGCCTGGAGCCTGCTTCAGATTCTGTGTCTCCCTCTCTAACACTCCCCGGCTTGCACTCTGTTTCTGTCTGTCTCTCTCTCTCAATAATAAACATTAAAAAAAAAGTTGCTGCTGTGTTTACAGTGCTGGTCAACTTGGGTGCAGTAATTATTTCTACTAAAACTGCTCTACCTTGACTGTGATTTTCTTTTTGGCATTTTTGGACCTCTGACTTCTCTCTATTTTCTCCTTATTCTCTGACACTGTATTTTTTTGCTTTAATAAATGGTAAGTCAACACCAATAAAGGTCACTAAGCTCTAATAGGAAAATGATTAACCAATGAACTCTGTAATATTTCATCATAAAGGGTAGTAGACCCAATAAGGCACACTCTGTCACCAGAACAAACTGCTGACTTTATGTCACCAGAACAAACTGCTGACTTTAGGTCACTTTGAGGGACCGAATACAATCCTGTAATCGTGGATTTGACATTTTATAATCAAGGAATAAACAGTATTAGGAAGCAGATTTGGAGTAGAGTCTAGGGTGAACCAAGCAATGTGGGAAAAGCATGATTGGGAAAGGTCAAGTGCTCCAGAATGACTGGAGGGAAAGGGGCAGAGGGAGGGGTCTAGTGAAAGGGCTGGAGAGGAGGAATGAGCTTGGACAGGTGAGCTCAAGGTCCATTCCAGTGAATTCTGAGGGCAAGCCCAAAGACTCTGAATTTTATTCTGGGTCCTAGGAGATTGTTGACCAAGGTTTCAGGGATGGTGGTGGGATAAGGCAGTGCAGGGGGCAGCTGATGGAGGGTAGACGGGGGTTGGGAGCCTTGGGGTCTGAGTCCCTGATACAGGACTATGGCATCTCTGAGACAGTGGATCCAGCAGTTGCTTGCATGGATATGGGGCCTTGAGCAAAGGAGAAGGAAAGAAGGGAAGACACCTCTGTACAAAAAACATTTACTGAGTATTTACTGCCTGCAAAACCACCTGAGTGAGTGATTCCAAAGCCGAAACCCTGCTTGTAAGGGTAGAGTCATGGCCCCAAACCATGCAGGTGCAACAGAGGCCTCAAAAAGTTCTGAGGCTTTGAGTGATGCAGGGAAAGTCATAAAATCATCACAGTGGTGACTGTGTGGGTTTACAGCCCTTTTGCTCTGGGCAATCTACAGATGAACTCTTATGACACTGAGAGTTCAGAAGAATGATTGCCCTTAATGTTTAAATTGGATTGTGAATTTCAGAATGGCAGATAGGGGTACACCCAAGGAGCCAAAACATTGCTACCTCTTTGCTACCCACCCGGAATCTTAGTCCTGGAGAATGGAAAGTGCTTGGGGTGGGGTGGGTGTGGGTGGGGAGCTTCGGAGCTCCCATGTGTAGGAGTGCACCTATATACAAGTAAGTACCAGACTGGATGTCTGTGGAGGAAGGATGGTGGGAAGGGAAATCTTGAGTACCTATTCTATGTACCAGAATGAGGGAGGCCCTGTGAATATGCCCACAGGACATCAAAACTTTAAAGTTAGCATTTTCTCCATGACCTTCTAACAGGTCCCTGAATATGGGTGGCCAGTGACGTCCATGGTCAAAATGCCGGGGTCTGTGCTCTCATCCCGGGATTGTAGAGAACAGCAGTGATCTCCAAAAGAAAGGGCAAGGTGATCAGTTCTGTCTGCACTTGGATTTGCCATTTCTTAGAGAGGGGCGTTTTTAAAAAATGTTTATTTTATTTTTGAGAGAGAGCCAGCGAGCAAGTGGGGGAGGGGCAGAGAGAGAGAAAGGGAGACAGAGGATCCCAAGTGGGCTCTGCATTGGCAGCGGAGAGCCCGATGTGGAGCTTGAACTCATAAATTGTGAGATCATTGAGCTGAAGTCCAACGCTCAACTAACTGAACCATCCAAGTGCCCCAGGGAGGGGCATTTCTATTTGCGACTCCCATACTTGCTCTCTGACCCTTCACTTGATCTTTTGGGGCTCCAGCTAGTGCTGGGTGTTGCTGTGGGAGCACATTCTACTTGGTCCTCAAATCCTGCCCTCTGCCTTCTCTCCATTTATTTCAATTGAGTAATGACCTTGGGAATCACAGCTTTACTTCTGACTCCTAGTTGGCTGTAAATTTTGAACCCGGCTGTAAGATCTGGGAACTGCTAGAAGCCATGGGGAGCTGTAGGTAAGAGCAAGGTCTCTACGCTCTGACGCTTGGGGCCCGGATCTCAGTCTGCCGCTTAGTAAATTCAGGACTCTGGCAAATCACCTTGTCTCTCTGAGCCTCAGTGTCTTCCTTTGTAAAATGGGAATAATAGTACCTGCTTTAAGGGGATACTTCTGGGGATTACATAAGATGTGTTGTAAAGTGCTAAACACCACACTTGGCACCTAGTGCGTGCTCAGTAAATATACATTCTTACTGTTTCTGTTCACCTTTCCCCTTTGCTTCAATGGGGTCATCAGAATTTCTCAGAGTATCTGCTTTCCTTGGGCCTTGGGGCTGTGTGACAAGCACGGTTTCACTTACTTTTGCTCACTTACCGATTTTCGTTTCTGACTGACAGAGTGCTCTCTCACTGCCTCTCTGAGGGAACGCGGATCTGCCCTGGAAAGGCCTTCTGTGTGTGGCACACTCAGGTGGCTTTCCCTTCCTGCCATTCACTAGCCAGCAGCATTCATTTCCTTCCTGGCGTCCTCTCATGCATCTGCTCACCTGTTTGCGTCGTCAGTCTGTCCCTTCCGGTGGAACCGGAGTTCTGGGGAGGTGGGGGACTCATCTGGACTCATCTCTGCTGGTACCCCAGACCCAGCCCCAGGCCCAGCGCTGTGCACGCTGGACTCAGTAGGTATTTTGCTGGGTGAATGAATCAAAAAATGAGGCAGTGATTGGGCAGAGAGCCCTGAGTCACCTGTGGGGAACGTTCTTCAAGGTTACCATGGGCCCAAAGTAGGCTTGCAGTGTCTCGTTCTTTCCTTTCCATTTTATTTTTTTAATGCTTATTTATTTTTGAGAGAGAGAGAAGGGGGAGAGGGGCAGAGAAAGAGAGAGAGAGAGAGGGACAGAGAATCCCAAGTGGGCTCCGAGCTGTCAGCACAGAGCCTGACGCGGGGCTCGAACTCACAAACTGAGAGATCATGACCTGAGTTGAAGTCGGATGCTCAACCGACTGAGCCACCCAGCTACCCCGTGTTCTTTCCTTTCTAAAAAGACATATTCTGCTTTCTATTTCATTCCTGAAAAGGGTCTAATTTGTCACCCCATAGCCTTTTTCTCCCTCTCTGGTGACACTCTCTTGGTCCGTGGAAATACTCATCTAATCCATTCAAAGGTGCTGGTGCTGCATTCCCTTCTCTGGCCCCTCAAGAACGGGACCTGAGTGGTTGGAAAAGAGTTCCAGCCAGTCAAACGGTTGTTGTCTAATGAGAAACCTAGTACGCTTGTCCTGATCAGCACCCGGTGATGTAGGGAAGTGTTGAATCACCGTATTGTACACCTGAAATGAACTGAACTGAAATTACACTGTAGGTTTGCTAACTGGAATGAAAATAAGAACTTGAAAGTAAATAAATACAAAATAAAAATACTTGGGGGGTGGGGAAAGAGACCTAGAAAAGCTCTTGGCCCTCGTTAGTTGCACGATCTTTAGCTGACTGACAGCGACAGTCATGTGATACAATCAAACATTAACTTTGAGTGTAGATTGGTTCTTGCGACATATAAGTAGAGGAGGGCAAACTTTTGGCAGGTGAGAGGCTTGGTAGCCGATACAGGAGAACCATGGCAGCGAGGTCCCGGGGGCCACGTCCGCTTGTGCTGAGCCTGCTGCTGTGTGCCCTGAATCCCCTTCTGTCTCAGGGCGGGAAGCTGTTGTTGGTCCCAGTGGACGGCAGCCACTGGCTGAGCTTGTTCGGGGTCATCCAGCGGCTGCACCAGCAGGGACACGACATAGTGGTCATAGCTTCTGAGGCCTCCGTGTACATTAAAGAAGGAGCGTTTTACACCTTGAAGAGCTACCCTGTCCCATTCCGGAGGGAGGACGTGGAAGCGTCTTTTACTGGTCTCGGGCTCGGGGTTTTTGAGAAGAAGCCTTTCCTGCAGCGTGTGGTCGAGACATACAAGAGGGTCAAGAAGGACTCTGCTCTGCTTTTGTCTGCCTGCTCCCACTTACTGTACAACGAGGAGCTGATGGCCTCCCTGGCGGAAAGCGGCTTCGATGCCGTGTTGACAGACCCTTTCCTTCCTTGTGGCCCCATCGTGGCCCTGCGCCTGGCACTGCCTGTCGTGTTCTTCTTGCACTCACTGCCATGCGGCCTAGATTTTCAAGGTACCCGCTGCCCCAGCCCACCATCCTATGTGCCCAGGGTTCTGTCCCTTAACTCAGATCACATGACTTTCCTACAGCGGGTGAAGAACATGCTCATTCTTGTGTCAGAGGGCTTCCTGTGCAATGTGGTTTATTCCCCATATGCGTCACTTGCTTCGGAAGTCCTTCAGAAAGATGTGACTGTCCAGGACCTTATGGGCTCTGCATCGGTCTGGCTTTTCAAAAGTGACTTTGTAAAGGATTACTCCAGGCCCATCATGCCCAACATGGTTTTTATTGGTGGGATCAACTGTGCCAGCAAAAAGCCACTGTCCCAGGTGTGTATTTGAGGGGGAGCTTTACAAGCCTGTCTCCTTGCAAGTACTTTGGATGGATGAACTTGCCCCTGACATATGCTGAATGAGCACGCTGAGGTAGTGTCACATGCCCTCTTTCGTTAGTTTCTGCTGTACAAATCTCCCGGGTCTGGGGTCGTAATTTGTATCTGTCTTGGGAATCATCTTCTGGGTTATTTCTTTGTATGGGACACTTTAAGAAAGCATACTTTGGGCTCCAGTGGAGAGTAATCAAGTAGATGCAACAAAGGTTAATTGCCGTAAGCACAGAGCAGTGAGTTCGGGGATCCTTGCAGAGCACAAAAATCTGCAGCATGCACCTTCCTGCCCTTGACTGGGTTAGACACCCAAGGTTCAAGACTGCTAGAATAATTCTTTGACATCTATGGACCATGGTGGCACAAGTTGCCTTTATGTTTCTGGTGTTGAAGCTTCAGTTACTCGATAGTCTGCTAGGAAGCCGGGTCCTGCAGTCCCTTGTCTTCTAATAAGTAAACATGAGACAGTCCGATCCTGGCATTCGGCAGAAAGGTCCTGAGTCTCATCCTCTGCAATGCTGCTAAGTTAATTTTTTTCCCATAGAGATTTGAGGGATGCAAAAACATAGCATTCACAATCTTCTTCCCACATCTCAATGGAGGTGATAGAGAATAGCAGGAGAGTCTCTGTCAGTTGGGAGGTTGGGAAGGATTCTCCAAGAAGGTCACATTTCAGTGGGCATTCGTTCATTTATTTCACAAGTATTGGTTGAGGATCCATTGGTAACCTAGGCACTTTGCAGATTCTGAGTCTGGCTTCTACTAAAGGGACTCTACTCACCCTCAGACAGCACTGAATCTTATTTCCGGGGTGACTCCATTGTGATTCACATTTTAAACGATCATGTTAATGTCACGGCAAGGAGAAACTCTAGACAGCAGAAAGATCCCTGCGGGAGAATTCCAGTGCTGTGTGGATGCCTCCACTCCGTTGCCGCATGACCAGATCACCTCTGTGAGGCTCTGATTCCTCCCCCATAATGTGAAGCGACATCTGGTGACTCCTACCAGTAAGATTCTGATACCCCAACAGACCAGCAGGCCTGTTGGAGAAGTATGTGCCTGACGAGGTTATCTGCTTAAGAAAGGAGATGGTGTTGAGTTTTTAGAAAGCAAAATGACAAAACCTCATGTTAATAGAAAACCAGTCATAATTCTCTTTCATATATAGGAAAAGGTGAAATATTACCAAACCAGTGGGCACATCATAGATCAAAGGAAAGAGAGCTAGTCAGCATGGCCAAGTTAAGAGTGAAATTAAAGAGAAACATTTTTGGCATCATTATATAGGATCCAAGTGAAAATGATTGTTTGACATTTACTTTGAAATTTAAAACTTTGGAGATGTGCATGCATAATAGAAACTCCATTTGAAATAGAAGGGTTTATTTATAAACCTGCATGGAATGTCCCCCTTTACACTGGCCTTCTTTCTACTCCTGGGACATTCCAAAATCTTTCCCGGTTCAGGACCCTTGAACTTGACGGTCTGTCCTTTTGGGATGCTGTGCCTGAGTTTGTGAGGTGGCTGTCTTTTTATTTTTCAGATGAGCTGCGATATCACTTCCTCAGGGAGTCCTTCTCTCCAAGATAGCGTCCTGTGCTATTTCCTTCATAGCCCATTAAATACCGCAGTCATTTCATTTAGATAATTGTTTATTGACCATCTCTTCCATACATGTGGGTGCGGGGACTACTTCTGCCCATCACTGCATCCTTAACACTTGGCAAAAGGTCTGCCCGTGATTGGTGTAAGTATCAGCGTAAATATCAGAGTCTAATAGGCGCTTACCAAATGTTTGTTAAAGGAATGAATGAAAACCAACAAAGGGCGTGAACTGAGGACTAGTCACCAGATAGGCAGTGATCTCCACCAGTTTTCTGGACTCCTACAATTACATACAAATATAGGTACCTGTAGGTAAGTTTTTGTTCTTCGTTTTACGAATAAGGTAACAATATATCCCCACTGCTCACCTATCAGTATGTCCTGAATGTCGTTTTGGTTCTAAATATTATATCTAGTTTTTAAAACCGTTCCATGTTTCATGGTATCTATGGGCCGCAGGTCATTCTGTTTGTCACCTAATATATATTAGCAAGGAAATTTATACTCCAGAGACTTGCTCTTCCTGGTGCTACTTCAAATATTACCTTAACCAAAGATCAAGTCGTTTGTAGTTTTCTTCATATTTTTCTGTTCCTTTCTGGGTCAGATTTTCTTAAATATTTTACCTTTTTTTTTTTTTTTTTTTTTTTTTTTTTTTTGGTCATTACTGTGAATGTGATAGTTTTTCCATTTCTGCCTGTAGCTGGTTATCTACTCACTATTCAGCCAACTCAAATAAAATTCAGCCCCATATAAAAATAAAAATTCAGCCAACTCAAAATATTGATTCTGTCATTTAAAAAACCAGTAGGCTGGCTTTCATCAATAAAGAAAATGTGATTTCTTCTGTTGTAAATTCCATGCCAACTATTGGTCTTATTTTTAAAAAAATTTTTTTAATATTTATTTATTTTTGAGAGAGAGAGAGACAGAGTGTGAGAGGGAGAGGGGCAGAGAGAGAAGGAGGCAGAATCCAAAGCAGGCTCCAGGCTCTGAGCTGTCAGCATGGAGCCCAATGTGGGGCTTGAATCCACAAACCATGAGATCATGGCCTGAGCTGAAGTCAGACATTCAACCGACTGAGCCATCCAGGCGCCCCTCAAATATTGGTCTTATTGAATTCACTAGAATCTTTCAAAATAATTGAGTAATGTTGGCAATCACGAGGATTCTTGCTCCTGATTGTAATGAAGATTGATTTTCTTTTTTTTCTTTTAAGGTTTATTTATTTTGAGAGAGAGTGAGGGACCAAGAATGCAAGCAGGATAGGGTCAGAGAGAGAGGCGAGAGAGAGAGAATTCCAAGTAGGCTCCACACTATCAGCGTGGAGCCTGATGTGGGGCTCGAGCCCATGAATTGTGAGCTCATGACTTGAGCCGAAACCAAGAGTCAGACACTTAACCGACTGAGTCACCCAGGTGCCCCCTGAAGATTGATTTTCATTTCATCATTTTGTATTATGTTTGCCATTGTTCTTTGGCAAATAGCCTTTATTTATTTAAATGATTTTCTTCTTTAGGATGTTTAACAGGAGTGGCTACAGAATTTTATCAACTGTCTTTCTCAGTATCATAGTTTTTAGCATCATTTATTGATATGTATATATATATATATATATATATATATATATGTTTTAAAGTTTATTTATCTTGAGAGAGAGAGAAAGAGAGGCAGAGGAGGGAGGGGTAGAGAGAGATAGAATCTCAAGCAGGCTCTGCACTGTCAGCCCAGAGCCTGATGCAGGACTCAATGTCACGAACCATGAGATCATGATGAGATCATGACCTGAGCCGAAATCAAGAGTCAAGACTCATCCGAGTGAGTCACCCAGGTGCCCCTCCATATATTTTTTCCCCTGTAAATTTCTCTAAGTGGTGAGTTGTGTTGACTGAGTGTTAGTTGCTGCCTTGTTTGGTGCAAACAAGCCTCAGTGTGAGAATGTCTTTGTAAACTGTACCTGGCAGAAGCCCTCTTTGTCCTACTTAATATTTTTAATTTGAAATTCCACTTTTTTGATATTAATATCACCGCTCCTGCACTATCTTGCTATTTCCCTAGTGTCTTTTTGGCACCCCTTTGTCTTCAAGCTTTCTTTTTTTTTCTTTTTAAATAACATGGAGCTGATATTTTTAGCCTGGTTGAGAGAATTTTGCCAGTTTGCAGTTCATTTAAAAATTGATAGATTGGATTCTAACTTACCCAACTTACTTTATTTTTATTTTATGTGGTCATTTTTCCTTTTCCTGATTTTTGCTGGTTTGTCAAGTTGCTATTCATTTTCTTTTTTCCCTTTTGTTTATTTTTTATTTTAGAGAGAGAGAGAGAGGTAGTGCAAGTGGGGGAGAGGGGCAGAAGGAGAGGAGGGGAAAGAGAAAATCCCAAGCAGGCTCCATGCTCAGTGCAGAGCCCGATGTAGGGCTTGATCTCACAACCCTGAGATCATGAACTGAACCAGAATCAAGAGTTGGACGCTCAACCAACTGAGCCACCCAGGCACCCCACATCCCCTTTGTTAATTAAAGAATCTTACTCCATGCTCCCATTCCTTTAGCAGAGATCGTGCTGGTCCCAATGCTCTTGGTCAAAGTCCTGATCTTCAAGAATAAAGATGCAATATTTAGTTGATAAGGAGAGTCCATAGGGACTCTGGGAAGTCCCTACTCCATAGGGAAAGCACACCTGGCATCAGACATGTGTGGGATGCCTGATGGACAAAAGATAGTAGAACAGCATTAAGAGCAAAGGAACGAAGCTCAAGAATTCCAAGATATCGTTCCCCGCTCAGAGTGAGAGACCATCATTGTGGACAGCAGCGATTCAGAGATGATATCCACCCAGACATGTTGGGTCTGAGGAAAACACCCAAAGAGAAGGTGGGTGAGAACAGAGACTTAGAGGTGGAGAGAAGAGAGAGTGGTGAGCAAGGAAGCTTGTGGTCTTTGTCAGTGGCTCTGCATGCATAGTGATAAAGCAACTGGTTTCCAACATGCCAAATGTTTACCAAGGGTTTTGAGAAACAGAAGCCATTTGGGAAGAGAAAATCTAATAAAGGCCTGGAACTCAAAATACTAAACTCTCAGCAGAAGCTAGGATCTCTGTTAAAGACTTCAATGAGGTGGGCAGGTGTTTTCACTTCAGAGGTGGCCTCGTGCATTTTGGAAGGGGATAAGAGGTGGAGGAATCGAGGATTATCTTCAGTTAACATACTGCCTCACTCTTTGACCATACCAGAGTCTGTGGAGTTAGGGCCAGGTTCATGGGAAGTTTTGCCAGTAGGGTGTGGACCTCACCGTTATTAAATCCCAGAAGAGCTTGCCGAGAGTGGACGTTGCCCATGACAACACCAGCTCTGCAGTTTGCCCTTCCGTGATCTGTAGATGAACTTCTGTGACATTTAAACTTTAGTCTTGCTATTTAACTTTGGGTGTTTACGGACCTGTGGATTCCTTTTTACGGTAATCACACCTGGCTGGGTGCTGAGTGGGTGTGGAGGAGTGTGCAAGGAGGTGAAACCAGATATGGCCCTTTGTAGACATAGTTAGAGGAAGAATGGGTTTCATGCAGGAGGGAAGGTCCTGGGAAGTGAGGTAAGCCGTGTACCTTCACTCAGGAGAAAGAGCTCACAAGGTCCTTGGAGAGGAGCCATCTTTCCCCAGGAAAGAAGGATGTAGTGCATCCTGGGGAGGAAGGACTTCAGAAAAGCCATCCTTAGGAGGTCTTTGCCACAAACCAAAAATGCAGCATGGCAGTGGGGAGGATGATGCTGGCCTCCCCAACCTTTCAGATGAGCCCCATGGAGAAGGCCCAGGACACAGCCACTAGGAGCTAGAAACCTTGAAGAGAGCTGCTGGGATGGGATGGGGGTGAGGACCAGGCAGGAGGCTCACCCCTGAGGAGATGTTGGGGCTTTCCTGGCCGTGCTCTGAACCAAATTTGAAAAAAAGTCCCTTAAAATCATGTGTGCTGAGGCCTGTCAGAAGTCTTCTACGTGTCACTCCGGGGTGGCCAGTGTTCTGGTCTGTCCGGGACTGAAAGTGTCATATCCCAGGAAACCCCTCAGTTCTGGGCAAACCCTACCACATCACACAGTCTCAATATCCGTGGCATTCTTGGGAGACATAGAAAACCATTTGGGAGATTCTAAGGGAGTTAATTAGATCATTGATAACCTACAGTTGGGGGGAAATTGCCATACTCACACCTTGCTCTGTTTCCTCTATGTGGGATTGCCATGCTGTGTGTGTGTGCGCGCGTGTGTGTGTGTGCGCGCGCGTGTGTGTGTGCCTGTGCACATGCATGTGTGCATGCCTGAGTGTGTATGTACTTTGCCTGATGACCAAGTACTCTGGAGTTGGCTTTGAAGGTTGGGGTCAGATCAGACTGAGCTGTGATTATCGCTGAGGGTTGAGTCTGGGGGCTTCCTTACTCTCTTCCGGGGGTCACAGCCACCACTCATGACTCAATGCAGCTAATACTGCTATTCTGATTGAATTAATTTTTGGTTGCTACCTCTCAGAGCTTTTGTTTGACATCCATCTCTAAAGTCGATTCCTTATTACTTCAGGGGTAGGGCCTCGATAGGTCATAATCTGTGATCTGCACTTACTAGTGGGGTCCCCACCATCACTGTCTCTCACTCTTATACACACAGACACTTCTAAGATCCCATCCCCCTGCTTCATCCACGGGAACGACAGACTGTTCATCTTCCAGTAGTTGTCAGGTTCATTATTCACTAGAAAACCACTCGCAGTTCAAATACACCAAAACTCACTCCATTAAAAAAAGTTGCTCCTTGAAAAAGAAGATGATTTCGTCGCAATAGAGCAGTATCTGCAATGGGAAAGGCTGACTTAGACCCCGCCGTTTTCTAATGATGTGGTCTTGCATGCAAGGCCCAGGTGGAGGGCTTGTCACACAGCCCCTCTCTGCTCTTCATTCCTTGTTCCTTGGGTCATCTGGTCCAGAAGTTTCTTCAGAAACAAGCCCCACTGCTTTGTCTTGAGCTTTGTCCTAACAGCCAAGGCTGCAATGCCCAATGGCGGTCATGGTTGGAGGAGTGGAGTGGCCTTGCAGCTGCAATCTTCTTTGGATGGCGGCGAAGGATATACTGCTCGAAGGAATCAGGACACGGAAGCATCTCTGGAACGGGACATGAACACTCCAGGGGGGTCATGTGCTGGGTGGGTTGAGACTCACTGCCTGTTTATCCTTCCCCCCCCGGTGGCTTGGGTACTCAGGGTTTTCTCACATGCCCCTGACCTTCTCTGAACTCCACAGAGGGGGCTCAGATCCTGATGCACACTTAGCAAGGTTTTCTCTTCCGCTTTTGTATCTTTTACGCTTAGGGAGATTTTCTGCTTTTGATAGTACTTTATGAAACCAGCAAAGAGAGATTCAGGTGTCTTTCTGTATGTTCTTGCTAAGGCAGGAAAGTTGACTTCCATTCTTCAGAAAGCTCTTCTCCAGGAAAGGTGGGGAAATGCCAGGTTGACTGGTTAAATTTCAGCACTGAGTTGACATGAATATGATCCCCAATCACCCCCGTGTATTGGCTGTGGGAAAGCAAGAATTGTTAAAGGTTGTCTTGGCTATTTGAGGGTTTTCCTTAATTGTGAGCCTCATCCTCAACACTATTTGCGGCTTCGTGCCTTGACTCATTCGTTCTTTCAACATAAAAGGAATATTCCAGAAGCCTTGAAAAGTAATATACATCTTTACTGTGGATTTTCTTAAAGGGGCTGTGCAGGAGTTTTAGAGTCTGCAGAAAGCTTTCTGAAATTCTCTTTGGGCAGCTTTCCTCTCTTCCAATGTCTCCCTTCACCAATCTGCTAAACGGTTCTCTCCCCTCTCTGTGACACTCATCCACCTTTCCTCCCTCCTTCCACACTGCCTGCTGCTCTCTCCATCAATCCCTTTCCTGAAAGCCTGCTTTCTCCCAAGATGCTCTCAGATGCTTGAAGCCCCTGGGAAGTGGATCTGGTCTTACCTCTGATTGCTTTTCCTTTGGGAAATTAGCACACTACCTGGATTCTACATCTCAAAGAAGAACCCAGAAGATAACCAGATAAGCAAGAAGCCTTCCTCCTGTGGAAGGAATAATGGGGGAAGGAAGTCTATAACATGCACTAATATTTTGTGTCTCTAACACACACACACAGACACGCGCATTCTTAACATGAAGAGATAGGATTCATAGCTGAATGGATGCAGTTCCCAAAGAACGTGAGAAGAAAATTAACTGTAAATTTCTCTTCTGGTTCTAGGAATTTGAAGCCTATGTTAATGCTTCTGGAGAACATGGAATTGTGGTTTTCTCTTTGGGCTCCATGGTCTCAGAGATTCCCAAGGAGAAAGCTATGGAAATTGCTGATGCTTTGGGCAAAATACCTCAGACAGTAAGAACATGCCATACAATTCTGTACCTTCTGTATCTGTATCTTCACAAGAGTTGGAACCCCAGACTTCTAGTATCGGAGTTAGTCCTATCAGTTGGACTTTAGGCTTGGGGTTCCCTGCGACTTCCTGATTACTAATCCAAAGGTCTTTTTACCATGTCACTCTCAACTGTTCTGTTAGACCGCGGTCTGCTTTCCTTGGAGGTCTCATTTTCTCTAAGAAAGTCAACAGCGTATTAAGGAGAATTTATTTTATCGACAAAATGAACAGGACAGTGTTTCTTCATGTTACATAAGGAGTATTTCTACAAAAAAAGCTGCTGGTCAGGACACAGGATTCATTTCTTATATTGCTGCACCTATAATTCTACACCCACTCGTTTTATTAAGTAAACTTTCCCCTGAAGTGCAGAAATGTGCAAAAGTCATAAGTGTACAGCTTGGTGGATTTGCACAAATTCACAGCTTGTTACCAGTCCCCAGGAGCCTTCCCAGTTGCTACACCTCCCTCCCTTGCCAAGGTTATGTTCATTCAGTGGACTCTACATTCTAGCTACTGTGGCAGATGTTTCGGAATCATTGTGTTTTTAAACTCTGTTCCTGTCTCTGCAAGGTCCTGTGGCGGTATACTGGCACTCCACCACCAAATCTTGCGAAGAACACAATACTTGTCAAGTGGCTTCCCCAAAATGATCTGCTTGGTATGTGATCAGGCTCTGGCGTGTAGGTCAAACCCAAGTGCAATTACGAAAGTGGCTTGCGTGTGGCTGTTCTAAAGGATTATTTAGCTGGAACATATCATGGCCAACGTATTCCACGTTGCTTTTTACCTCGTGGGGTATCTCACCCCATGTTTTCCTCTGCAGACTTCTGCAAAAGCCACATGTGGATGGCACTGAGTCCTTAGCATGCTTGCAGAGCATAGATGGTGTCAGACCATGCAACTCGGTGACCTGACTGCTGGCATCCTTCCCTATTTTGCTTCTCAGGTCACCCGAAGGCTCGTGCCTTCATCACACATTCTGGCTCCCATGGCATATACGAGGGGATATGCAACGGCGTTCCCATGGTGATGCTGCCCTTATTTGGTGATCAGATGGACAACTCGAAGCGCATGGAGACCCGGGGGGCTGGATTGACCTTGAACGTCCTGGAAATGACTTCTGAAGATTTAGCAAATGCCCTAAAAGCTGTCATCAATGACAAAAGGTAAGAGAAAATGTACAGAGGAATACTACTTGTATCTTGGCCATCTCATTCACAATAAATATTCAAATGTGAAAACAAATACATAAAAACCTAATTAATAAGTAAGATGACTTTGGGATTATTATTATGCATTTCATTAAAGGATGCTTTAATTCCTAGAGAACTTCTCATAGAAATGATTTTATTTATTTATTTTGAGAGAGAGAGAGAGAGGAAGGGAGGGAGAGCACGAGTGGGGGAGGGGTAGAGAGAGAGAATCCCAAGCAGGCTGTCAGTGCAGAGTGTGATGTGGGGCTTGATCTCACAAACTTAGAGCTCATGATCTGAGCTGAGATCAAGATCAAGAATCAGACGTTTAACTGAGCCATCCAGCCGCCCCAAAACTGATTTTAAATATTATTTCCCTTGGTAGGCTTAAAACTTCAATTTGTTAAAAAATATTGTCACCAAGTAGATGTCTACTCTACGAGATTCTACAAAGAGAGAAATATTCTGTAATGAACCTAGTGTCCATAAGATAAAAACAAAGAGCTTAGAAGCATAGTTCTCCCTAGCACTGAAACCCGTGAGAAATTTTGTTCATGGGGATTTATAAATGGGGGGGGGGTGTCATGTGATATCCCAAAGGCTTGTGATAAAGCAAAGGTGAGTTTATTCAAATACGGCTCTGAAAGAATTCAAGAGGCAAAAGCCATCAGATCAAATGGTCTTTGTGTGGAATTTATTGTATTGATGTCAAGTTCACTAGTAACAGCTTGGTCAAAACCTTGTGGGAAGAAGTGATAGCCAGGGTGGACTTCGTCCAACAATTAACAGCGCGCGTGTGCATGTGCATGTATCAGTGCGTGTGCATGTGTGTGTCTCCATGACAGTGGCGTCTTCACCCATAGTTGCTTCATCTTGAAAAAGACATCAGTTAGAAGGACAGATGTGGAAAACTGGAGTGTGTTCAGATGGGAGGAGACATTGCACAGGGTGACACAGTGAGGCTGGGCAAGGAAAAATGGGGGAGAGGTGGGGTGCCCACATGTGTGGTGCCAATGGATGGAGAAGAAAAGCCCACATAACCCAGGGGTAAATGCCCAGAGTGCCCGGTGGGTGCCATCCCTCTCTTCTGAATGGCGCCTTCCGGCTGCCCAGCTTGTTGGGGTCAGGATGTGCTGCTCACACATTGGTGCCACGGAACCCCGACTTCTCTCCACGTGCTGACAAAACTCGTTCCTGAGGTTCACATTCGTAATGCAATTTTGATCTTTTGTTCCGTGATACAGACGACTATCTGGAACCTAAAAATGACTTGGTAAAAGTTCTCTTATTTTTTAAAAACGTTCATCAATCAGCCTGAGAGTTTAGCTAACTGCATTTGTTTGTGAGTTCTCGCTACCTAATTGTGAATCTCCCTGTTCCCAACACTCTACACGGGGACATAAAATAAAGACATCAGACGATGCAGCCAGGCCATAACAGGTGCTCAATAAATAATGAGTGAATGAAAGTTATAGAAAATCTATCTGGTTTAAGAGAAGATTTATACAAAAGAAGATGTTTAACAGGCCTTATGGTCAAATATTGTTATCACAATACAATAATGTATCCAAATAAAATGGCAGACCTGTTTAAAGGTGGCAATTATCATAATTACTCCTGAATAAAAGTGTCTTCTATTTTTCTCTTTCTTCTCCCTTTCCTTTCCTTTTTTCCTCCCCTACCTTCTCTTTCTTCTCGCAGTGCATCCACACTAAGGGTGAAACATCTAACCCAGTTTGGATGTGGATGTTCCGATTCAGCTACCAACGCTGTCTAAAATAAACAAAAACCCATTTTGTTTCCCAGGCTGCATAGACACAGCCTCATGCTACAGTTAGCACTTGGACGGTGTGATGCTTCACCAATGGAAAGTATGCCGCCACCTTGCGAGGGCACTTACAAATGGCTTTCACTTTGAGTAGATGTGATTGTTTAAAACTGTGAGAGGGAAACTGCTCATAATTTCTGACATGACCTTTTCCTTTATTTCTTTCTCTTATTATAAAGAGTCATCTAATTTCCTACAAAAATATCATGAAAAAGAAGAGAAGAAAACAGGAAGCTAGGTTCAAATAATTTAATATTATAATTTTGGCTTCTTGTTTTCTTTTCTTCTATTTTTTTTTTTTTTTTTTAATTTCAGAGATAAAGACCAGTTAGTGTGTGTGTGTGTGTGTGTGTGTGTGAGAGAGAGAGAGAGAGATGTATGGTGTGTGTGTGTGTTCTTTTTGGCCATAATAGAAACACATTTCCTCTACCAAGTTTGTAAAATCTGGGAGCCTTCCCAACCACAGCAAGCCTAGAGGGAGGATGGTCAGTATGGTTGGTGTTCCAGAATTCATCACACTGTCTTTGCAGGTTTAGCTGCCAAGGAGCAGAACATCACTGTCCAGCTCCTGCACAAGGACAACACCCAGCCTCCCTGGACTCCATGTTCTGGGTCGAAGCCTGCAGGAGGAGGGCACAGGCCCTTTCCCCACTCCGCTGCTGCAGCCTCAAAGCTCACCATCTCACCTGGTACCAGTACCACTCTGTGGACGTGATCGGCTTCCTCCTGGCCATTGTGCTGGGTGTTGTCTTCATCGATAAAATGCTGCGCCGCTGCCAGCAAGCTTTGGGAAAAAGGATCTAGGTGTTAAGCCACAAGTCTAAGACACACTGAGAGGTGGGTGGGAAGTGAAGTGACCCAAAGTTGCAACCAGAGGCAACGTTAAATTTATGTTATGCTTATTCAAGAAATACTTAGCCCTAAGGGAGATACCCCCGTGGTTTTTTTTTTTTTAAATAAAACAACACCAGGCTTCTGCTCCAGTCAAGTTACATTTGATGGATTTTGGCTCAGGTCATGGTCTCACGGTTGTGAGGTCAAGCTCCGAGTTGGGCTCTGCACTGAGCGTGGAGCCTGCTTGGGATTCTCTCTCCGCCCCTCCCCTCCCCCCCTCAAAAATAAACAGATAAACAAACTTTAAAATAAAAGCAATCTAACTGCTAGTCACACCTAGAGGTAGAGATACTTGAATATGTTTTCTGCCCCCTTTAGGATCTTTAATTTGGACTACGTTCGTCACTTCAGATGACTTTCCAGGGGGCTTGGGCAGGTGCCTCCTGCACTTCCCATTGCTTTTCTTACTCAGCAAATGAGGCTTGTTTGGGGGCACAGGTTCCAGGTGGTCTTACCCCCTCTACCTGGGAGGACAGCTCTAACATCGTTGTCTGGCTTCTGTAGACTGTTGCGATCAATTCTGTCACCAGTAATGGCAGGTCCTAACTTGCATTCATGCTTCACAGATGTCACTTTGTGTATACAAAGAAGGAAACATTTGTTCCTTTAGGGCATAGTGCCTTGTACTTGAAATAAATGAATGACCTAGGGGCGCCTGGGTGGCTCATTCAGTTAAGCGTCTGACTCTTGATTTTGGCTCAGGTCGTGAGATCTTGCGTTCGTGAGATCAGGCCCCGCATCCAGCTCTGTGCTGATAACACGGAACCTACTTGGGATTCTCTCTCTCCCATTCTCTCTCTCTCTCTCTCTCTCTCTATCAAAATAAAGAAAAATAAACTTAACAAAATAAATCATTGGCACAGGTTCTTTTGAGAACAGTGTCTGATTTCTGGCTTTAGGGAAAAGAATGATGTATAAAATTGATGAGTGGTGGGCTCAAGGCTATCATCGTGGCTTGTGTGCCAAATGGATCTGAATTTGAGGGAAGCCCAAAGCACAGTGTCTCACAAGTGTATTTTCTCTGATGTTTGCCACAACTAAAGACATTAATAAATTCATAGAAATTCTATCTCTTAGGTGTTCTTCTCTTCATTGTTGTTGCATTTATTTGCTGTTACGCTACACGTGGTAATTCCGCAAATAATACACCAGTATGACAGAACTTTTGGTCGTCCAATCAGGAATGTGGAGGGAGGGTTTGCACAGGGAAAACATGGCCACCAGAAGCCATGACTGACCCCGGTGGTCAGGGGAGAGGGAGCTAGTGAGCCGGGGACAGGCTCCCGGATGTGTCCACTACACGTTTATGTTGTGTCCGTTTTCCCCACATCCTGCCTTGGTGCTTCTCGTGCATTTAAAGTCACGGGTTTCTACAGATACTTATTTTCAACTTAGTTCCTGTAGAAGCAGAGGTAGGAAGCCCGGTAGAGTGACAGCACACGAGGGTGGCCGATTTCATGAATGGATTATACGGGAGTCAAATGTTATTGCCCTACCCTGAAAAAGAAACCCAAAAAGCATTTTTATTTCAGAAAACCAAGTACAGCCCTCTTCTTTGTCCTTGATCTCATCGCTTTAGTGTCTTCTCTGGATAGTATGTGCAGGGGCATCTCACTTTTTCCATGGCTTCTGTACTCATTGTATGTGCGACAAAAAAGCGGCCCCTTTCTGCACCCCTCCTGATAGCCAGGCCCTTCACAATGTGGCTTTGCAGCTCTTCCCATCGAGAGGAGGATCTATTTCCCCACCCCTCAAGTCCCGGCTGGCCTGTGACCTGCTTGGTGGCATGTGACAGAGTGGGTGGGTACCACTTCTGGGTCTAGGTGTCAGGACGCCTTCCTGTTCCTGAAGCCCACTTACCTAATGTAAAAACATCCTGGGTGAGCCCTACTGTGTGACAGACATGTGTCCCAATCACGCTAGCCTCTTCAGCCAATAGCTAGCCAACTGCCAGGTGCCTGTGGGAGGCTGTCCTAGACCAGCCAGCCCTCACCCAGCCCACCAGCGGACTGCAGATGTACGAGCAACTCCATGGCTAGAGATGGCCCAGAGCAACAGAACTACCCAGCTGACTCACAGATTTATGAACAACAGTAAATGGTTGTTTTCTGTCCTTAAGCTTTGAGGTGGTTTGTTACACAGCAATGGCTACCTGATACATTCAGTGCTGGCCCTAAACCCACGATCTTCCATGGGTTGGGTCTTTAGACTGTCAGAGGATGCAGGCACGTCCTACCCACTTCTCTATCCACTTCTACACGGAGAGCTGTGCTTAGCTGCACGCAGCGGGCAGGCAGGTAGGGTCTGTGGAACGGAATGGGAGCCGTGTCATTTGAATGATCTTTGAAGGAAAAGAGCAGGCCCAGAGGAGAGTGGGAGAGGTAGCCACGAAAGCGAGGCATGTGATAACTGTCTTCTTGTGTCTCTTCCATATTGGTCAGTATGTCTCCAAAGGGCAGAGTGAGGAACAACGCAGGAATTTTACAGGGAAGAAGGGTTTAGCACCATGCCTGCGAAGCTCATTTTCCAAAGGGCAAAAAGCATCCCGCTATCAGAGACCGAGGAGCAGGCCTCTTGGCCGCATAGGCAAACTTTGAGTGGGAATTTTCACTAAGCCTTCGTGGACCTACGTGGCTCTGAGTCTTATTCTATTGCTCTGTGATGCACAGCAAGTTTCCAAAGGCCAATATTTCGTTGCTCAAACTTTTGATCTGGCCTGTTACAGCTACAACTGACGAGAAAATCTTGGGCTCCACTTTTGGTTCAGGAAATGGGGTACCTGCTCTCTTACCTGTCAGGGGGAACCCCCTGCCCCATCCTGTAAGCCACCCAGTCCTTGGGGAGGAAGAGTCCTCTTCCCAGGACCCCTCTGTCATCCATCCCACCCCAGCTGTCCTGACCACATCTTCCCACCCGGAGGTCCTATGACCACAGGGTGGAAGCGAAGAGGTCAATGAGAAGACATGACTGCCAGCTGACCTGTGAGCTGGACCTGGGAAATCGGAGGCTTTGCATCCCCTCTCCTGTCCTTGGAATGTGGGTTCTGCTTGCCTTTCCCACTCCCAGAGGATGATCCAAGGAGATCGTTTTGGGATACTGAGATGGTGTAGAGGCCACCTTGACGGTACAGGTGACTGAACCCGGTTAAGACCTCTGTATAAACTTGTAAGATGTGGTTGGCAGATGCAGAGATACACTTGTCCTGATGCTACTCAAGATGAAACTCCTGTGTAAGTTCTCCTGCTTATGAAAACTGCCACCTGCCAACATGGAGTGGCTTCTTCAGTCTCTCCCCGCCCTCTGAGTACAGAGGCCAGTTTCAGATTTCACCCCGGAAGCTTCTGTGGAGCTTGCAAACCAACAGGGCATCCCCAGGGGATGTGGTAGTCGATAATGCCCGCTCCCGCTATGCCCCTTTCCCAAACAGGCCACCGTATTCCACCGCACATATGGATAAAAGAAACGTCTAATGACAACATAATGTGGCGTTTTAACACAGGGCCCTGCGCACTCCTTGAAGCCCTCAGTTGATCAAGACTCAGGAAGGCAGTTAGATCTCAGAGTTCCAAGGGTCTGCGACCTAACGGTGATGGTTCTAGTGAAACCCTCCCACCCTGCCAGGAGACCTCTTCCTCATCCACATTACGGCTGAGAAGCCAACCGTCCCACTTCCTTGACGACCCACCTGCCCTTGTCCACATTACCTGTGATGTGTATTAGGCATCCTCTCCTTGTGGTGTATTTTTGTCCCAACCAGGAGGGGACTCCGAGGAAAGGTCAGTAGTTAAGTCCCAGAGTAGCTCTTCAACAGATTCCCAGGAGGGAAAGAGCTCAGGACGGTGAAGAGCCCGTGGAGTTTCAGGCTTGGGGAACTCTGGTCAGAGGGCGAACGGATCTGGGAGCATTCAGTCCTCCATTTTGACATCTGTGTTGTTGGTCAACCCTTGAGAAGCTGCTGATGTTACGAGAGCTCCTTGAGAGGAGCAACGTGGACGGCGGAGGTGGGTTTCTCATTAATCGTTAGTGTTCGGTGTGGAGAGGAGAGGAAGGGCCCTTCTTAACCAAGTTAGCCACTGCTGTGTGATAAATGACATCAACTCAGTGGCTTAAAACAACACCCGTCTATCATCACACGGTTTCTGGGGATCCGGAGTCAGGGGGTCTCACAGGCTGCCTTCATGTTGGCGCAGACACATCCTTTCCGGAGCTTAGTTCTCTTCCAAGCTTATGGGGTTGGAGGACTGATGTCCTCAGCTTCTTGCCACAGGGTCCCTTCCACAGGCAGTTTAGGCCACGCCGTTAACTTCAAGGCTAGCGTGAGACTCCCTCTCCCATCCCTAGGACACAGAGGCTGCTATGAGAGCACATGACCCTGGGAGTGGCTTCCTGTCACCTTGGCCTCGGTTTACTGGTTAGAACACGGGTCTAGCCAAGTCCCGGTTCTGCCCGCACCGAAGGGGAGAGGGTTATGCAGGGTGTGACTCTTGGGGGAGCGGTGGTCTCTTGGGTTGTGTTGATACACCAACGATTTTATACAAATCTTGTCTCCGAAGAGCTTGTGGAGGAGATGACAGAAGCAGTGGTAGGCTCAAACGAGGACCCGGCAGAGGAAACGGAGGACCCGGAACCCTTGGAGCCAGATGACGACGGAGGTAAGAAAGTCGGCCCCACCCCTGCATTCCTGTCCTGTCCAGTCCTGGCCATTGACTCCTTGAGGGCGTGTCCCAGCCTAGGTCTCGGTTTCTCTGTCTGCACGAGGACAGGGAGGCCCCGCCCAATCGTGGCAAGAGCATGGCTTCCCCGGCCGCGTCGGGAGGGCCTGGGCGCGGGAGCACTTCCCGCGACAGCCACCTCAGCGCCACCCCTGCACCACCTTGTCTCAGGTACTTTCCAACAAGTCACAAACCTCCTCAACATCATGGACAGCGGGTCAGCAAAGACGGACGCTGCTGGGGGGGCAGGTCCTGACATGCGGAAGATGCTGGCCTCGGTGATAATCACGGAGAAGGCCACCACGGAGCCCTCCGCGGTGATCAACGCTCTCATCCGTTGCCTGCAGGTGCCCGAGGTAGGACCCGCTGGCCCCCGGCCCCGCCTCGGAGCCCAGCCACCCGTGGGTCAGCACGCATTACTGACCATCGCAGGCACAGGGCTGGGTGCTGGGGCACAGACACGGGCAAGACCGTGAGGCTCACAGGACCCACGGGAGACTGGGGCTTTGGTAATTTTTAAAAAGCTGCCTTATTCTGACACGGTGGGTTGGGGAGCCCTTGTCCTAAGGCTCACGAACGTAGTCACAAAGATGTTGAAGGAGTGAAGCAGGTAGACCTGGGGCAGCCAAGACGTAGCAGAACCGGGTGCAAAGTGCTGGGCCAGCCCGGAGACTGCTTAGCCGGGGTCAAGAGTGGGGTGGAGGGCGTAGGAGGGAGTGATGGGCGGTGTGACAGGAAATCGCGGTGGGCAAGACAGGGCAGAGTTTGGGGCAGAGCATCAGGGTCCCCTGGAGAGCTCATTAAGACCCAGATTGTTGGGCCCCGCCCTGAGACTTACTGATTCAGTAGGTCTGTGGGGCTGGCCTGAGAATCAGCATTTCTAACACCTTCCCAGGTGATGCTGAGGCTGCTGGTCTGGAGACCACATTTTGAGAACTGCTGGAGTGTAGACTGTCCTGTAGCCTTTGGGGCTGGGAAGTGCGGGAGATCTTTGTAGGAATTCTTTAGAGAAAGCTTGATTTTGTAGAACGATCGGTGGCAGCTGTGAGGAGCAAAGACAGGCAAACGGTTTTGTAACAGACTTTTAAAATGTGGGTTTATTAGGAGGTGCGGCGGGGGGAGGGGACAGGCCATATCATGCAGGGCCACATGAGCAAGCACCAGGGTTGGCCAGGAAACAGAGGGAGCGAGGAGGGAACTGGGGCAAGAGTCTATATTGTGGTCTCTGGTGGGGGGAGGGGGGATGGGACAGGCAGGGTGAGCAGGCTGAAGATGGGCTAGTGTGAACAATTTCAGCGGGCTCTGGGTATCGGGGCTGTCCCTGGTTGTCTGGCATGTGGCCCTGGGGTCATTAGGGGCAGGTGGATAGTGGCTCCCAGTGGGAGAGCAGGTGGATGGTACCGGCTTTGGACTGGCTGGTTTGCATTTGAAAAGCATGCTCCCTGGGGAGATGTTTGCTCTTGGTAGTAACTGGCTAAGCCTGGGAGGGGTGGGCTCTCCAGGGTCATCGACCCCGAGGTGTCGGGAAATATAAAACATTTAAGAGCATGATTAACACCCAGGCCACAATTGATGGGGTTTTGGGGTGATGGGGGGTTCAGAGCCGATGGTCAAGAAAGAATTCTTTAAGACGTCTTTGGTGCAGAAAGGTGATTTTATTAAAGCACAGGGACAGGACCTGTGGGCAGAAAGAGCTGCGTTGGGTTGTGACAGATAACTCATTATATACCTCAGGTTGGGAGGGGGTTAGGGACAGCGTAAGTCTCTAAGGAATTTTGAAGCAAGGTTTCCAGGTCCTTGAGGGGCTGGCTGCTGTTAGAAAAACTGTTGAGTAAAACCTCAGTCATGAGACCCTTCAGATGTATATCAGGGGGCCATAAGCTTGGAGTATGATTGCCTGCATGTATCTTGGGGGGTTGAGATAAAGGAATTTTTATATGTTAAAGCAGACTTACAGGATCCTGGGGGGTCAGGATAACGTGAAGCCAAGATTTCCTTTTCCCCGTAACAAAGTGTCATCATCGAGGCAGCCGAGCTCCTAGAGGGAGGTCACTCTGTCTGTTTCAAGGACTCGTCACTGGGCCGTAGGCAGTACGGGCATCTAATTTTTCATTTGCCTTTGTTTCCCACATCACCACGGCAAGCACTTGAACCCCCTTACATCTCGATGAGGGTCATATGAGGGCTCCAGGAAACGGAGCCTATAGGTTTCTGGAGATTAGGTTCTGGATAAGATTGCTTTTTTCTTGCCATTACTAAGTCATCCGTAAACTGAAGGAGACTCCCGTCCTACGTGACCTCGATCTCCATCAGTCAACCATTCTCTTTCTTTCCTTTCCCCTCTTCTTGGGCAGCCAGGAGTGTCTGGGGAATATCACACGTATCCCACCTGCTGGGGGTGGGGGGAGGGTGCTGTCAGCCTGTACTTTGTCCTCAGCTCGCCCCATGCTCCCTCGTCAATAATCAGTGGCAATACATAGACACTAAACACGTGGGCACATTTGAAATTAACCTGTTTCGGAGATTTCCGTTCTTCATTGAATAGTGAAGGAGCCAGCAGAATGTCAAAATCTGTTAAACCAGACAAAAGTCGTTGGCATTGCCAGGAACAGCAATGATTTTTGTTGCTTGGGAGGAAGGATTTGCATTCGTATCAGTTTCCTAGGGCTGAGCTTCTGTTCCCAGATAACGTAGCCTAGACAATCACGGGGGATCAAGGGTGCCCCCCGCTTCAGGCCCCATAATCTTTGAGCGGCTGCAGACAGCCCCAAGACCTCCTCTGGTGCCTGTCTTTAGGTCAGTTTCCAAGTCTTTGACAGTTTTTGCCTTGCGACCATAAATATTCTCCAGAGATGCCTCTTGATCACAGAGGAGGCTGGTCTTATTAAAATTTACCTGGCTGTTTACACAGGTCCTGCAGGAGTGTTAATGAAGCCTACAGGTGTCCTTGAGTTCTCTTTGAAAATCAAGAGCATGCATTCTCCACGGGGGTGATACTGTTCCCCCCACCCCCGGGTAAAATGGATTCGCTGAAGAAAACCTTACTTTTTTATGTATCAAGTACAGAGATGCACATAAACAGATATGTCATATACTCGGGGAATTAAGGCTTCATGGGTAGGGGTGCAATCAGGAAAAAATGTCTAAGAAGGCTGTTTAGGGAACAATTTAAAAAAAGACTGAGGGACACTGGCCCAGGGCCAGGCAGTACCGAATGGCCAAGGCCCCCCAGTTTTCTTACTTCCAGGGATTTTCATGAGGAATCTCTGGTTGGAGTTTAGAAGCCTCGGTTATTTGCTAGGGCGACACCAGGCAAACAAAGCCACGACTCTCTGGAGCAGATTTCACTAGGTGAACATATAAGTTTGAGTGACTTTCTTCCTTCTTGAGGTGCCTTTTCCAAGGCCTCTGGGGCTGCTGGGAAGTGGCCACCCTCCCAACAGAGAGGAGGCCCCTTTCCAAGGGCTTTGCGGGCCATGGCCCCCATGTCAACGGCCCACACTCATTCTGTAAGAGCAGCTGGTCAAGCCTGATTCAGTAAGGGTTATATTTAAGTCTCCAGGTGTGGTCTGGGAATACGGTCTCTTTGTCCAATTCTACCTTAAACGGGGTCATTTAAGATGGCGATAAGGCTATCTGGGAATCAAAAGGGAGTGAGAGGCACGTTTCCTGGTATCGACTGCTCCCCCACCAGGGCGGACTGCGTTCTTGGGCTTTCAAGTGGGCCAGTGACAAGTGTGTGGAGAATCTGGGGCGCTGACCATGTGACACTTGTCTTGCTGACTCTGCCGGACCAAGAACAGGGAAGAGAGAACAGATTTGCGGGCCACACCGCCAGGGCCAGTTGGATGAGTCGGATGGGGGGAGGGCGGAGAAAGGTGTCGGGGGTGGAACCCTGTAGGGCCTGCCTCTTGGGCGGCTTGAGGACAACCCCCAGGTGGGGTATGACTCATTCTGGAACCAGTTGCAATGCGCGTGGGGTTCCCCACCCCCCTCCGCCACCGCCACCAAGCGGTTCTCAAACACCAGCGGGGCGTCCCACAGTTCAGCTCAGTTCTGACCTACCCACCTGGAGACAGCATCGGATCCCATAGG